GAGACCAGGAAAATAAGGATCTCAGTGTTGTTGTAGCTCAAAATTCAGGCACACAGTTGGTCTGGACTTTTTGCTTTATGCTCCCATCTGTTTGTTTATCTGGGGGTACAGCATAAACAGGAAGCAGGATTTCAATACCAAATAGTTTTCTCTTGCCAATCTTATTTTCAGGAGGGAAATTTGGTTCTTTTAAATTGTCCTGGGAAGAAACTTCATTTGGGAGTTGTCAGACTGGATGCAAATTATTTCTAAGAAAGGCCCACTTCAGTTCACTATAAAAAAGTAAAGCCAAGTAGAAAGTATAAGTATGGGGAGTTCTCCTGCTCCAGCTATCAGACCTTAGAAATAAATTTAAATTTTCCAGCTCTTCTAGGACGGTGCAGAATACTGCATGTTCCAGTGCCCTTACTCCAGTCAGCATTTTGGCAAAGTGAAGCTACATCAATCACACATAATCTCTGAAAATAGTGACACTAGTAGTCACTAGAAGATAGTGACTAGTAGTTTATAATTTTGCAGGTTCAGGTTTCCATTAAAGCTACAGATGTGGTATAATTAAATTGTTATTATTCTTTTTGTCTCAAGTTCTTCTCTGTAAAATTGTCGCTAGCTGTATTTTCTCAATTCTGCAAGTGCTTTCATTCATTGACGAAATGAATTTTTAAAAAAATGCCCCTCACTGTGCACCATCCAGACCAATATTTGGTCCCTATGTCCTCAGCCTTGGACAAAATGCATGCAGTAGTTAAAACTCCCTACGGTTATTCCATATAACCCTCTTCCAAAGCACTGAGCATCTCTCAGTGGAAGCCTCTCTGCAGTCAGTAGTTCGTTCTGCCCATAGGTTACCCTGGATCAGGATATCAATGCCAGCCCAATGTGGCTCATTGCTCTCTCTGCCATTGAGATGAGCTTTGCCATTTCATCAATGGGAACAGCGGCACCTTATCATGAAATATGAACTTGGAATGTTATTTTAGCATGTCCTGTGGGTTTTGTTTTTGTCCTTTTTTGTGGTACCCTTTCGTTTGTTGAGAGGTGTCATAAATTAACTTGTTCATAACTGGTATTAGTTCCTCTTGTGTTAATAATCTAACCCATTTTGTTAAGGTAGTTATATTAACAGTCAACCTGTATTTCCATGGCAAGTCCTGCAGGAATATACTTCAGCACTGACAGATTTATGTGTTTCTGTTTAGGGTCCACCAGGACCACCAGGACCCCAAGGACTGCAAGGGTCAAAGGTGACCTTTCTTATTTTACTCATCATGTGTTAAGAGTGGAGGTGTTTTCCGGATCTTTCACTGACAGTTGTACACGTGTACATGGAGCTCTCCTGTAAAGCGCATTTACCTATAACATTACAGAATGCAATATGTTTCAAACCACACATTCCAGAAATCTGAAATGTAGCTTTCTGGGAGAGAAGCTGTTTAGTTGCAAAACACATGCTCAGTTGAGAACCAGCAAAAAGAATTGTTACTGATGCAGGGGAAGACATCTCCTCTGCACCAGTATGAGTGTGTGTCCATGTGGCTTTACACTGCAGTGGTGCACACTCAAATACACAATATTTTGTAATCTCAGAAGAAGTGATCATGCGCCACGGGCGAGCAGGAGCGTGGCTGCAACCCTGGATCTGCTTGTGCCATCTGTCTGGGGCTACGCACAGGTGCTAACTAGTGAGCAGCCCGCACGGGTGTGACCGATACCATGTGCTGCACTAGTCCATAAAACTTAACTTCGGAAATTATCTGTGCTAACAAGAAATGTGTTAAAGTAGTGGACCTTCCTTAAAATGGATTTAAATAAGTTAAGTTTAGTTAGTCTTATTTCTTAAGATATTGTATTTTCAGATTTGTGTTTGGAAGAAGGAAATTGCAGCAGTAATTCCAGGCTCTTTGAAGAGTAAATAGATGTTTCTTGAACAACACTAGCATTTTAGGCTTCATCCTTAGGATATAAAGAAATACATTAGATTTACAGGTGTTAACTGTTTTGAAAACTTGCAAGAAACTAGGTTCTTCCTTCTACACAAAAACTGAGACTGGAATACAGAGTTACGTACATAGGAATGTTTTCCTGCATGAGGATGTGTGAAGCACAAAGCTTTTCCGCCCCCTGGAGAGTGTTGTAAAACCAGGAAGAATCGGGGTGTGGGAGAGGTGGTTTCTTCCTTATGGGTGAGGGTTCCCATTCAGAAGTAATGGTGTAAACCAGAATGCAGCCCAGCAGGTGCTTGTTTCCAGGACCATGGTCTACACCCATCAATATTTTCTGCTCCTCTGGATTCCACTAGTCAGGAATCAGTGGACATGGCATTGCTTTTGTGAAGGTAGGCTCCTTCTCTGAGGGACTTATTTTAGTCAAGAGAAGAAAACATGAAGGCTTTGCTATCCCACATGTATCTAGGGCCATGATTCTGCACTCATTCTAGTATTTGTCAAAGTCTCCATTGGACTGGGGACTTTTCACCCGACATCTCAGGTTTCTTTATTATTACTTTTTTTTTCAAGTATTATTACTTTTTGGAAAAAAAAAAACTCATGTCTTTGTCTGGCCCTTCTGTAACTCAAAGATTATGGACTGGCCTAATCAGCTAGCCAGGTTATTCAGTCTGTTGAATATAGGTATTTGTTATTTCATGTTCTCCGTGGTGTGGTATTCTTTGTTTTTTTTTGCTAATTATGGCAGCTTACTAATCTTGAGGCATTACTGATGAACTTAGTTCATCTAGTGCTGCATCTTTCTACTGGTGCCTGGGACAATTAGGGGATGCTAATCCAGCTCCCTCTCATCTTTTTCAGGGTGAACCAGGATCCCCAGGAACTCCAGGAGTTGATGGGGAGCAGGTACTTCATAGTTAAGTGGCGTAGTGCAGATCATACGAGCAACCATGAGTTATTTCAGGGGATTATTTTTGTGAATAAGTTGTAGCACACATTTCATAATCATATGGTCATTATTGTGTTGCTGCAGAACATGTGGTTGCATAATGGCTGCATTTCTACTTACTAATTGCTGGATAAATAAATATATGATATCTTAGGGTCCTAAAGGCTCAAAAGGGGATACAGGTGAACCTGGAATGCCTGGAGAAAAGGGCAGAATTGGACTGCCTGGCTTGCCAGTGAGTATGAAAAAAGAATTTATTTTTCGTAAAATGCCTGTTTTATCTCTTCTATTAACAGTAATTTTCAACACTGCTGATAAATTGAAACTGGGACAGAAAGCTCTGGGAAAAAAAAATGTAGGCTTGTTCTGCATTTAATATAAGAGGAGGCATAGGATTTTCAGAACTTTTCATTCTACTTATGGTCAAACAAACTACTGCTTTGGAAAGAGATGAGCCGGTGTGCTGACCAGATTTGTTTTCTCTTGTACAGATGTACAGCAAACCAGGGGCAACTATAGATTTGGGCAAATATTGTTCAGGAGAATGAGCTATGTTTTGAACAGTCAGGAATTTCAGATGACTTAGGTTTTCTCTTAGATTTTTGGCAAAGTGAAGCTACATCAATCACACATAATTTCTGAAAATAGTGACACTAGCAAGGAGTAGTTTTTAATTTTGCATAGAAAAATGTTTCAAAATGCATAAATATTTATAAATGCATAAGAGAAAATGCATAAATATTTATAAGAGGTGCATTCTTCTTATTCTGGTACATACATATATACACAAATTTAAGTATTTCAGTAAAAATACAAACAAATCCATAAGTGTATCCATAGTTCAATAGATCACGAAAGCAGTGTCGATGTAAGGACTTCTTATAAACAACATGCCACACACCCATCTCCGTTTTAACTACTCATGAGTATTAATTTTAATTGATAGCTGGTAACATAAAAGCAGACTTTTACATTTGCTAACAGCTACTGTTAAAGTTATACCATGATAAAAGCTTTCAATTCTATTATACACATGCTATGTTCATTCTTTTCATAAAATAATTACTTACTAAGAGATATTATACTTTTTAGGTTAAATGTTACTACCAATAAGATTAAAATTTTTTATAGATACTATTCTGTAATACTTTTGTAGGGTTCCACTGGTATGAAAGGTGAAAAAGGAGATACTGGTTTGCCTGGTGCCCAAGGCCATTCGGTAAGTCTCACTGTGCAGTGTATACACTAGTCCAGCAATAGTTCTCTAGCTTTTAATTCTGAAGAACAATTGATATCTTAGTTGCCTTTGATGTCTGCTGCACCTGTGCTTTCCAATGAATTTGCTCTCTGAAGAAGCACGATCCTTACGTTTTTAAAGCTGTAAGGAATTCTGGTCATCAAGCTCAATACTGTTTAAGAAATGCTAAACATTTAATTTTGTATTCAAATTCCTATCATGAACAACAGTCCTAGCTTCAGTCAAAGCTCTGTAATGAATCAAAGATAAATGCTTTGCAAGATGCAGTAGAGAGATGAAACTGTTTGGTGGGGATCTCAGAAGGTGCAGTGAGAAACAGCCTAGACTGACTTCAGCCACGTTGGGAATAATGATATGTGACCCATTGGCATCAAATTTTTAGGGGAAGAAGCTCTGATCTCACATATATCTTTGCCTGTTCACAGATATTTTTGCTTCCATTTTAATGGAGCGATTACACTTACGGAAATGTGTTATTTTTCTGTGCTTGTCCACTTGTAAGTTTTTCAGTCAGATATTCTTCTGATCTTCAAAGCATTGAAAAAACATAAAAATAAATATCTTCCTGGTTTACGGGTGATAAGTAACTTTACCTGAGCAAAGTACAGCAGGAAACTTCAGAGGAAAAGCCAACTGTCTTGTCCATGGTGACATGAACTCGGTATTTAGAGTCACAGATCTAAAGAATTAAAGTTTATTCACCTCAGAACACCCTGGACACCCTCTATCTCAGCAATGTCTGTGCGTCTATTTCTCTGAAATGAAAATTAATTTGTTATCACCTACCATGTTGATTTTTTAAACTCACAGGTCATAGAGCACACCTGCTACCTCTTCAGTGGTGCTTTTGTAAAATTGCTTTTTTCCTGGAAAAGTGAAATCAATCATCTCACCTTGTTTTCACTCAAAAGAAGCATTGCCTTTTTTCAGGAGATTGCACAAACAGTGGAACTCCCTAGTTTTGTTTTTATTTTTGTCTTGTATTGTGAAGTGTGTTTTGTTGTCACTACTATCAGCAGCAGTTTGGGTAGCAGAGGGGCTGTACTACCTCCTCCAGGCAGCAGGACTGGCTCAGCATCCTTGCTGCCACCTCAGAGTTGACAATAACACCTTTTGGGGCATTAAATCCTGGGACAGAGGTGATGGTAAACTGTGCAAATGTCATCAGGTAACTCTCTGCCATGGATTTGCTGGGTGAAGCACAGGAAGACCGCACAGAATATGTATGCACTAAATGCTGAGCAGCCTGATCACCTCTTTTAATGATGTCAGGCAATTTTTGTTAAGGGGGTCTAAATGGAATAAAAGAGAGAAAGGGCAATTTTGAGAATGTGCCGAGCACTACCATAAATATTTAGAATCTTTGCATTCATTAGTATTGAGGAGGAATAAAATGACACAGCATCCTCTTTGGTCCCTGTAGTTTATTTTTTTTTCCGTATGATGCTTCAAAAATGTATCTTAGAGCCTAAGAGTAAGAATAAGGAGACTTATGTTGCCATATTGCATGTTTTTTCAAATGAGAATAATTCCCAAGACCCTTTCCAGACATGCTGCCAGTATGCATGCTGCATTATTATGTTTTGAAGTGCCTGCCCACAGAAGGAGGGTCAGTCTAGTTTTTGCTATTCGTGAGGGAATTATTTAGTCTGCTTCATTTAATGACATTGTTTTTTACCTGTAGATCGTAGGACCACCTGGACCAGCAGGGCCACACGGTCCTCCAGGCCCTATGGTAAGCTTGGGTGGAAGAAAGGTCTTAAGCCCTCTTCTCATTGTAATGCCTGTTTAAAAGAGGTGCTGTGAGAGCATGTGACCTTTAGAGAGGGACCTTTCCTGCATGTTTTAAAGTCTCTGGGGAGTGGAGAAATGAATGCACGTACCTGTCTTAGTGCTAACACTCCAGTGGTCTGGTTTATTTTTTCTATCAGGTGTTTATGATTGCTTTATTGAAGGTGACATTTCATTTGAGAGGACAAAAATATAACTGCAAATTGCACGCACCTAAAGTAAGATACACCTAAATTTGTGGCATACTTTCGTAATTCAAACTGGGATTTTTATTTTCAGGGACCTCATGGACTGCCTGGCCCAAAGGTAATTTAATTGCTGTCTTGAATTGCCATGTTGTTCATATCTGTAAAGTGCTGTGCTTTACTCTTTAACGCATGCAGCTATGTTTTGTCTTATGTCTCATTTATATAGGTATTTCTGATATTCTTAAACCTTAAAGCATATTTTAATATTAACAGACATCCTTTCTTTTTTTCTTTTTTTTTTTTTTAAACTTTTTGTGATTGTTTCTCCAGATTGTATTTCTCCTGAGCATAGACTGAATTCAGTTTTTGTGTTAAAAATTGTGATGTGGCACCAAATTATTTAGTTTCCCATTTGTGGGCAAGCTGTACAGCATTTCCCAATGTAATTGGAGTTGCTTCAAATTGCACTTCTGAACACAGAATAAAAGTGTGTCGTACGCTCAGAAAATGGGGTCTGATAAGCTTCTGTCCCTTTACGCTCCTCTGTGGCACAAATGGCCTCTCAGCAACTCCGGAGCTGGGTTCTTTGCTGGCCAGTTCTTCCACACTTAGTGGAAGTTCCTGTCAACAGCTTGTTGTGTTTTGCAACGTAGAATCTCTGATCAGGCAGGTCCATCTTAATTGTGCCTGGACGTTTTCTGCGGCGTACATACAGTGTAGGGACTCTGGAAACCCCTGAGAAAGCAAAGCGAACCTTTTAGATGAGGGAGACAGGAGGAGATATTTGCAGGCTTGCAATATTTTAATTTCTTCTTTAATTTACGTATCAGTAACTATCCAAGAGGAGAGTGTTTTTCTGTTTAGTTTTTGGTGTTTAGATTTTTTTTAAGGTGAGAGCCAGAAATACCAATACCATATTTGTTTCATTAGGAGAATATTTGTACCCTAGAAGCTTGGGTCATGAAGTGAGGTCTGTTCTGTCTTAGCACCAGACCTGTCTTACTTTAGGCTTTTGGCTGGAGACTTGGGTTTGTGGGATCTCTCAGGTCTGTTTCCAAAACTTTAGAGTTTTCAGTGCTAACTGCTCTGAATGTGACACTCAGTGAAACAGAAAAAGAACAAAGAAATGGATATTTAGACAGGGGCAAAGGGGGCAGAAAATATGTGGATATTCTTCAGGCAGCAGAATGGTTTTTTTTTCATAGTAACAATGATAAAGTAAAAGTATGCGATATAATGTTAAATAATACATCAAAGGGAGACCTAGGAACAAGGCCATAGGGAGCAGCCTAGATGAAAACCCAAGTAAAGTATTTCTGTGTCCCAAAAGAGGCTGGCATGGTCAATAGCCTTTTGACTGGACAGTCCCCAAGCTGAGGTAATTTTACATGTGAGAATGATCTACTGGCAGTTCCAGGGTCACCATTTTCCTCCTTTTAACAGTTAATGTAATAACCCATACATGGTTTTTACAATCACCAAAAAGACAAGTGCCGTCGTTTAAACTTCTCTGTATGAACACAGAAATTACAGACTCCTGAAGAACCTTGACGCAGCATAACATATTGCTTCTTTTAAGCTCGTACAGTTTAATTGTGTATGCTTAAAGGTTTAAAATATCTTTATGTAAGATTTTGCTACAAATTCCAGTTTGCCATAAGAAAAAGATACTGCCTCCACACAAAATGTACTTTTCAGGAGAAAATGCAGAAATCTGTTTTGAAGTTTATTCTTGCAAATGTGTTCTTTCAATTTGAATTATCAGTAGGATCATTTGAGATATAAAGAATTTCAAAAAAAAAAAAAACAACCCTCACAATTAAATCATATAAATATTCACATAGTGATTAGGAAATGACTTAAGAGAATCTGATATCCATCAGTTTCCTGTAGTATTTTCCTACAGATTTCAACTCTCTGAGGGATACCTCTGAAGTACTTTTGCACAGTACTATATGTATATACACACATGTGTATATATGGTGGGTGTACTGTATGTATGTATGTAGATTGGCAGTCAGCTGAGAAGGTTGAATCTGTATCCTTGTTTTGAACTGGAATTTGCAGCCATTTCTGAGAGCGGTTTCTTCTATCCCAGCTTAAATATCCGTTATCGCACCAAAAATTTGGCATTTATACTTTTACGTTTAGGGTGAACCAGGGTTAAATGGTCTTAAAGGATTGAAGGGTGAAGCAGGTCAAAAGGGTGACAGAGGGCCCCTTGGTCTTCCAGTAAGTAAAAAAGCCTATTCAATTTCAGTGCAAATCACAAATTTTTCTTTCTACTTTCAACTCTGGTTTACACAATAGCATATATCAAATTATACCATGTTCCAACGGAACATCAGTCTTGCTTGGTATTATCCAGAATCTGTCCTCAGTAACGTCCTGTAACACCCATTACATTTTTTTTGTCCTGTGTCAGTTGAAAGTGTTCAGTGTCACAAAGATGCCATCACCCCATTAATCTTATCATTATTTAAATGTTGTACGGTGTATGGAAACGAATCTTCTTTTTCTTCCTTTTTTTCTTTTTTCCCCCATATTCTCATTTTTTTATCCCATTAGACCTTTTGTAGTTAAAATGTAGAGATCTAGCTGAACAAAGTTAAGAATTGGTTTACGGAATTTTGATTTTTCTTTTTTTTTTTTTTTTCTTTCACTATGGAAACTGGCTTTTTATCTTGCCGTTATGCAATGGTTTTTGCCTGGTATGCTTTAGAAAGCATTCTGACTGGCAGGAATTTTGTTTTAGATGTAAGATGTAAGACATTAAAGATTAAAATTTTCAAATGAAAATACTATGGTTCTCGCAATTTAAAATAATAAAGCAGAAAATACTTTGTGTGCTCCTTTGTGCATTTGAAAGCACTCTACGAAGAGTAAGTTCTACTTCTTCCTCACAAAAACGGTTTATTTCATCTGTTGCTTTACCATGGAGGTAACTATGTGATTGCTTTCTAATATTAAAATGGAGGAGAAAAACTTACTTGATCCAAAGAATCCTAAATTTCTGATAAGCAATGCAGAGGCTGTAAATAAAATCAGCTTCAATGAGCACTTTCATTTATTTGATGAATTTGGCCATTTTTAAGTTGACAGTTATAGCTATTTAAGGAATGAGTTTTTCAGTTCTTAGCCAAACTTTCAAAACTGAGTAAGTGGGAAAACATGTTTTAGTTCCTCCAGATATATTTATTCTAACCTACAGGAAAATATTGTTTTAGTTTAACAAATTATATAGCTCTGGTTATATACTCTTACATAGTTTTGCATCTCGTTATTTTTTTTTCTAAATGTCATTTTAGATTGCAAGTCCAGATGTTTTATTTTCAAAAAAAGAGGCTCATTATCACCATTAGTGAATTATTTATCTCTTCTTTTTTTGGCTCACATTGCTACTTATGTCACTTGCCCGCAGTTCTTGGATGGTCCCTTGGATGTGCTGCTTGGATGGCTCTTGCCATGTTGGTTGGTTATTCACATAAAATCCAGCAGAGGTCATCCTGTCCCCAAGGATGCTAAAGTCAATAGCCCGAAGTGCTGCATGCTGCACACATGCAGTGCCTGAATGTGCTTTAAAATTGTAGTACACTGAAAAAACAGGAAATCGGATTGTCTCCCCGGCTCTTGGAAATGAATGAGGCCATTGTTGCCAGGACCCAGAGTCTGCTGGCTACATAATGCATTTTTCTTACATACTTCCTCATTAGTGTATATTTTTCTGTCTTTGTGTAGTACAGAATTTGGCATTGTCATTATTTACAAATGAGAAAGTGTGCTAACAAATTACAAAATAATATTTGTGCGTTAAGGCTCAAAAACACCATAACATGTGATGTTTGTAGCACTCTGACACATGCTCTGATCAAATGTATTCTGATGTGAAGCCAGAGATGTCAGAGGTGATGTGAGAACAGAATGAGGCTCCTGATGTTTTATGTAATTTTTTAACTAACACTCTGTAGTAATGTGATACCCATTCCAGAACGCTGTCACAACTTGTGAATTATGTTTGTTCATCAGCACGACTTACTAATCTCACGTTCTTGTCATTCGTGTTATGTCCATCATCCATACCTCCACCTAATCATACAGGGAGCATCTGGCTTAGACGGAAAGCCAGGAGCCCGGGTGAGTCCCACGTGTTTCTGTGTCAATCTTTGTTAGCAAGTCCACACACTCCTTTGTGCTTGTGAACTACCACTTGGCACACAGGAAGGGAGGCAAAACTTCCACAAATTTTCCACGTTGAATCAGAGGGCGCCAGAAAGCAGACCCTTGTGGCAATGAGTGTGAGAGGAGAATGTAATTCTCTGGATGTAGAAGGAGCTCTGAATCTTAAGAAGGCAGTTTGGTACTGATTTTGGGTTGGATAGCTGTGCTGCAAAGCTGGCTTGAATATAGCACAGGATATCCAACCATATTTATTTTATTCCTGGATATTTTGTTCCTCCTTGATTTGCACTAGCCTGGGGACTGAGGCTGTGTCCCAGTGACTGGGTCTGCAGGCCTGTGTAGGCAAACCTGCCATTTGAATGAAGCATGTTGTATGTTGTCCTTTCTTTTACTTGTACTTATTTCAATACCAGCAATGAAATCAGCAGTGTGCAGTGATCTGCTTAAAGCAGTGATCTGAAGTGGTGTTTAAAATAAAAATAACATCTTGGTGGGGTGCTTATTTCCCCAGTAAGAAGTTTGGTTTACACAAGGAAGCATATTTATTTAATGCTAATATTGAATCAGTGAAATGGATCAAATCTGTTGGGGTCTTGCCTCAGGAATTCTCATGTTTAAAAGAAATGTAAAATTATCTGTTTTTTATAATGCTAAAGAAAGGGACAAAGTGAAAAAAGCGTGGAAGTATGTATCTGAAGGCTTCTGTAAGTCTGGTGCTGATCATTGCTACACGCATGAGTGTGTCCACCTGTGAGGCACACATTTCAATCAAAAAAAAAAGTGTTTTTTTTCCTCAAAAAAACCACATTTTTGACTCTTTAATTCCTTATTAAATTTAATACCCTTGTAAATCTGCTGATTTCCAGGAATAAATTCCAATTCAACTACAAGAGAGATGGGTTACCTGACAACCTGAGTGCTTATAGGTAAAATTTTGAAAGCTAGATGGATTTTTTTCCTAGGCCCCACCATAATCAAATCTGTATGAAAACTGATTCCATGTTAGTTCTCAGGTAGAAAATAGCTATTAAAACCAAAAACTTGTAAGAGCAGGACATCTTTCTTACCTTCTCTGTTTGCTCCTTTAGGGTGTAGATGGCCCCACTGGTCCCTACGGCCCTGCAGGTCCTAAAGGGGAGAGAGTAAGTATAACTCATTGAGTGGGCTATTCTTGAGAAGAAAGTGGCACAGGGGCAGACAAAATGTCATGTGGCTACTCACTGCATGCTTAGCTGTTATTGAACAAAACAATATCTCATCTGTTTAAGGATCCACCCAGAACTATACATGTTTTCAAATTATTCACAGTTACCTGTTTAAGCTATAAGGGATGAATTTGTAACTAATCTCAGAGGCACTGGTATTTTGCAATTGCTAATTAGTAAGAAGCTTGCAAGACTCTTTGAATTCACAGTTCTACATAGAACAGAATTTTGGTTTCATTACTTTTACACATAGGTTGAGGGGGAAAAAACTGGAACAACAGAAAGTCAGATCATTAGAACATCAGATAGTCTGATCTGACTGTGTACAATATATGTACGCCATGGCAAAAAAAAAGAGTATTCCTTAACTATTTTCACATATACGTAGTTTCCTTATCTTGAAGAAATTCTCTAGCCACTCCAAAAATTTAAACTTACTTTCTGTTTTTTAAGCTTAGATAGGAACCCTCCTATTTCATTTGAGATAATCCCAGTGTTTTTTTTCTTTTTTTCCCAGCAGAAATAGGATAGGGCCCTCTTGTTTAATTATGTGCCCCTCAGCTTCAACAACACCCCCTTTAACTTGTACAGGAAAACAAAAGAGGATACTTCCTACTGTCTAAAACCCTCCAGGAGCTCCCAGTGGAGCCCAGAATGATGGCTGTCTGAATTTCTCAGTTCAACACAACAGCTGTGCTAGAACAACTTGAGACTTCTATTGAGGCCACAGCCATATGGCAGAGGTCCAGGTAGCTTTAGCAGCCATACACCTGAGGCAGATTTGCATGACTTGAGAATTCCCTTTTGCAGAGTTGCATAGTGAGAAGTAAACACAAGACCCACAGCACAGTCCAAAATGGGAACAGTGGCTTGTAGCTACTGCTCAAGTTAGCTAATGGTCTGAAGGATCTGTTGTGGTACCTTTTTCTTTTTTCCCTAGGGAATTAGGGACTCAAGTCTTTTTCTGAATAGCCTTTCCTTTTCAGGAAAGCCTCAGCCTTTCGTGAAAAGCCATACCTTTTTTTTTCTTTCTTCCTGTTGACTCTGTGGAAAGATGACTTAACATTTATTCTATACTTCAGAAAATAGTTTAGATGAGATATACATATAGAAGCATATGTAGATATTGTACCTTTTATTTTCTGCATTATGAAGTTTTATCTTGAAATATGAGATATGCCTACTACTGGTTGATTTTTTGATTTTTTTTTCTTCAAAAGCAATATTGCACAATATAAACTAAACTTCTAAACTACAAAAAAATAACCATAACTGTTCTTTCCTATGAAAGGGTCCCAGGTCATAAGAAGCCATACAGCTGAATCTAGAATCTGCTCCACCATGGCTGCTGCTAAGTAGTCATTAAAAAGGGACAGGAACAGCTGAGATGTTAATTGCTTCAGTAATTGCTTCAGTAGGGCAAGATAAAATTGTGAAAATGAAGAAACTATAGCATGCAAGAAATGTCCATGCACTCCCCATGGTTAATAATAATAACTCCAGCATGGTTATTGCTGCAGTTGTTTATATGGTAATTATTTAATACTGTTCAGGAGGTAGACTTATTTGTGGCATAGTTATGTAGCTGCTACCTGGAGAGGGTGTCAGTATTTAATTAACAAATAGTGCATTCTTAATGACATTTTAAAGTTTGCACGTACATATATTTTTCTCTGCAAATTTCAGACTTTATCCTTTAAATAAAAATGGCACAAAGCTTGCTGTTGCTGCACAGGATTGTATTTTGTCCTTGCTGATAAGAAAAAGTATGAGCTGATATTAACTTAGAAAAGCACTAGGGAGTCCTAAGGTCAAACATAACCACATTCTTAAATCCATATTATTTAAATTTGAAAACTCAACCTCACTTTAAGAGGATACAAGTAAAATGCTGTTCACTATACATTTATGCTTCTTTAAAAGTTAGGGGAAAAAAGTATAATCAAAAACTAATTTCAAGAAACTATTGCCTTGATGTCAAAGACAAAGGGTTTTGACCCTGTTTTTGGCTCACAGACAGGTAAGATATGCAATGCTGACATTGCTGTGCAGGTTCTGTACAGGGAGAGAAAATGCATCTTTTTTCTTTGGTTAAAATATTTATCACAAGTCCTCTGGAATCTCCATATCAGTTTTTATGGAAACAACAAATATGCGGTTTTGTACTTGCAAATTGTAGCTCTCATTCACCCATGTTTCACAATATTGAACTGAAATAAGAGGCGAAAGCAAAGACTACAATTTCTGTTCTTTTGACAATGGTAACTTGTCTTATGAAAACAAATTAAAAACTTGCTTGAACATTGTGAATGTCCATTTTCCTAACAGAAATAAGTTACTGGGATTGTTGAGGGCAGTATGCCTATGACAGTCCATTAACTTCATAAAATCTGCAAATACTGAGGACCTCATCTGGTATTCCAAGCACATTTCAGCATGTGCTTTGTACTGGGATGAAAAAAAAAAGTCAGATGCATTTTTCTAAATACATTCTTGCATAACAGATGAGATTACTTCCCCAGACTGCTAAACTGTCAGTATTTTTATGTCTGCCATATGTTTAGCAATGTTACTGGCCTTTCTTGAGGATACTTTGTACAGTTGTATCTGCTGTTTAAAATAAAACATGATACGCAACTGGTCTTGACGTTTCTCAAGTTTTGATCAAACAGTTTTGTAGCTATCGTCTACGCAGGTCACCACATTAGTTTCTTCTTAAGTAAAAGTTTTAAAGCTGTAAGAGATTCACTACTTTATAAATCAGTTGTTACTTCCCAACGCTCTTGTAAGTGCTGCCCAGAAACAATCAGACACAGACATCTAATCTCCACTAGGCTGCAGGGAGCATGGAGAGTGTCAATAGAAATAAAATGTGAAGTACCTAAAACACATCAAATGTCATTTTCCCTAATACACTCATTGTTGTGGTGATTATTCAACATCAGGCTGAGTCTCAATTTATTCTGGTGTCTGCTTTTTTGTATTATGCAATCAATACAATCTATACTTAAGTTTTGTACATTGTTAGAGTTCATAGTGAATAAATCTGAACATTTACACCTCTAATCTAGAATCTTACAGAACAGTTAACAACATAGTGCAAAGTATGGAATAACCTTCACAATATTACTGTTAAGAGCATTGTCTGCTATATCAAAGATTTGTTTGACACATTATTTTTGCTCATGACAGTGGTGAATCTCAGATGCTGCATTACATCTTGATGTGGTGTATCCTCAATTTTCATTGCATTAGACTTTTACTGAACTCAGTGTTGCAGCTGTTACAAGTTTATAAGTGAGCTGTGTCAGTTCAACCTCAAAAATATTTTCAGGCACTGATTGTGCATTGACTATTTTTATATTGTCACCCATGCCTGTACAATGGAAAAAAATGTAATATTATATGACCTGAATATCATTTGGCCAATGAGCAATGCATACCTTCTCTCTGCCCCTAGTCATTTAGCAAAAATGATCTTTTCTGCCCCAAACAACAACAACAAAAAATTTAGGAATGTACAGACTTTAACTTAAGAAAAAGAAACCATTTGTTAGAGATTGTTTCTACCTATACTAGCCAGTGTTTTTGTCTGCTTTTTTAATAATCTTTTTTAGGGTGAAAAGGGAACTGCTGGTGATCCCGGACCCAGAGGACCATATGGCTTGCCTGTAAGTTGCATGTGATTTGTACACATTGCATCTTTCATCGCTCCTTGATTAAACTATGTGCACTTTATGGCAGCTTTTCACCTGACAGTGCAATTAGTTGGAAAAAGTAAAGAGAGATAATAAGTCCTGACAATGCAAGGTCACCGGCCTGTGTCACAGGCCATGATTCTTGCTCATGCCTGCAGTTATGCAAAAGTAATGGAACAGATCTGACCAAAAGGAAACCCGGAGTTCAGGCACTTCTTTTTCTGCAACGTGTGGATTCCCTCCTGCCCTAATGATCACCAGAGCACTTTGGAGCTACAAGAGTTCAGGATAAAGGGCAGCTGTGAAAGCTGTGACTTTATTCATGCCGATAAGCTGTGCAGATTTTCTTGCTGCAAAGCTTTTTTGCCATTATATTTTTGTTTTGCTTGACAGAGTAGGGACTCCTAGTTTTATTTTCACATGTGTGTGTGGTAGTGAGGAGCACTTTAAAAAGCTTGTTGGTTATTAGTAGGTAAAGATGGTGTATTTTAAATCAACCTTTTAAATAACTTTATCTGTTCCTAAAACATGGAACTTCATGGGTAGACCTTCTTTTGGAGTGAGGACAGCCCCACTGACTAGAATGATTTACGCCAATTTGCGGAAGACTTGGTCAAATATAGGCATATGTCTGTTCCATACATGGACATACAAGAGAAGCTGTGCGAATAAATGTGTTTGGCAAGGCAGCGCCAGCCTCCCTAAGAAACCTGCAGTGTTTCCATTTCATTGCTTCCCTACCTTCTCCAGTCTGAATTGTTTGAGCCAAATGAATCTGAGCTGGAATAGGATTTGCGGTTTAACTGGATCTGTTTAATCGGATCAAGAGTCAATGACTGGAAAAGGTTTTCCGTCTGTGGAATGCTGGACTAATTGGCAATGCATGATGGTCTGAGAGGTACTTTAGTGAGTTAAAAAAAGGTCACATTTCTGTTCCCCCTTCTTGGGAACTGAAAATGAATGATGGGCCTTTTTGGTATTTTTTGGCTTGCTCCTGGAACCTGTATGCAATCTGCAGCAAAACTTTACAGTCAAGTTATCAGTTTCTGGAAATGTTAAACACTAATAGAAACGTCCTGCACCAATGGCAGTGCTCTGTGTACAGTCTTAGCAACATATGCTATTAAAGGGCAGCTGGCATCAAGACGGCCCCTGGTATCAAAGTTCAGGGATGCTAACGCAGTTTATGTGGTTCTTTGGCAGGGCAGAGATGGCGAGCCTGGCCTTGATGTAAGTAGTATCCCTGGGCAATGCGCTCAGTAGTAGGTAAGCGTCTCACGAGGAGCAGCTTGCCGTGCTGAGCGCGTTTGTTTCCATTCAGCGTGCATGCGGAGCGCGCAGCGAGGCACGGAGCGCTGCGCTGGCGCCCTGTCTGCCATGAAGAGGGCAAAGGTTGTGCACAGCTGCACAGGCCTTACCTGCAGAGCTGCATGTAGGGCTGGGAATACAGGCAGTTGGGCCTGTGGAAGTCAGTGGGATGAACCACTGCATTTGGTACGATAATGTTTTCCCAGGCAAAGCTATGGCTCATTCTGAGCAGAACAAGGAGGCACTAATGTCTGGTTAAATAAATTAATCCCTAATTAGGCAGAGTGATTGCATACCCCATACACAATATGTATTTCAAAATAGAGGCGCTTTCCTTGGCATGCTAGAAAGACTTAGTGAAATCCTTTCACTCTAGGCCTCATCTGAAATCCCTATTTTGGAGTCTTTTCTGGAAGTTACATGTACTACATAACATCGCCTGTTGTCATTTTGAGTGATACAATTTCTTTCTGTTGCTGGCAAAATGACTGTACTTAAATAGCAAGACTGACTTTTCTCACATACTCATGTGCATGCGTGTGCTTGTGTGTGCCCACACACATACATATGTACACACACAAAGCATGTAGTGAAATGGTCTTTTTATTTTTTCCAAGAGTATTTGGAAGGTGAAACTGCACAGGAACAAAAGCCAACCTATCTTTGTCCATTTTTTATAGGGTTTTCCTGGTCCTCGAGGAGAAAAGGGTGATATAGGAGAAAAGGGAGAAAAGGTGACCTAAGTGCTATTAACTGTTGTGTGATTCCTCAGCTCAGTCAGTGCAGCTGTCTTGATTTTATAAATTGTCCCAATAAACCTGATCTTTCTTTCCACTGTGTGCCAAAAGGCAGGTTACAGTTATGGGCTAAGCAAAGCACATGTGTGTTAGAAGACCACAAAAATTTAAGCACAGAAGTACTATATCAACACATGCCAAAGCAGAAAGAAGAGAAAGTTCTAGTCACAGCTGGGTTTTAGGCTTATTTTCTTCAGTCTATCCTATGCTTATTGAAAGTCCTTGTCAGACTGCAGTTCTTAATGTAGACATCACTGCAATGAGTCACTGAGATGCTAATTTCATCATGGAGACATCAACTCTGACCCTTGTCAGTATTTCTGATCCCATTGTGCCAAATGGATAAGGACAGGTACTATTTGCACTATTGTTTTTGGCAATGTCTTCCTTAACAATTCAGAGAAATAAATACTTACGCTTAGTGGATGTGGATTAAACAATATGCTACTTTCAGTACCCCTCAAAAACTTCCTTAAAATGAAAGTTAACAGAAACAGCCTAACTTCATTTTGGCTGTTTAGATACAATGCCTTGGAGATATACTCAAAAAAAAAAAAAATAAAAAAAAAAGGCAATTTAGGATAACACGCAGGCAGAGGAAGCTCATGAACAAACCTCCACCAGTCCTGAGCCACGTTCTCAGGCTCCCTCATACTTGCTAAAAGCTGCTGAGTTAGCACTTACACCCAAACCTTGATATAGAAGTCCATATAATATGGCAGGTGATTTTTTTTTTTCCAGACCTTTTTTTTGCTTAGCTGACACATACAGATGCAGTTTAGAGTAGGTCCACATCCCACCAAGGAATCTCTGTCAATAATCAGGAGGAAAAAGTCACCGTATCGGTTTAAGGTACTATAAAATGTGCCCTCCACTCTGTCCCTTGTTATGTTGCTCGTACAGGGATCTCAGAGGTCTCTGATGTGTAACACAGATTTTGAACAGCTCTTTAAGCTGATGCAGTCAATAGTGTGCCCTTATATTGGGATGAATGGGGAGGATTATTACATGCCTAATCAATCCCATTGAGGCTACTTGAAGACTGTGTCCTGTATTTTGGGCCTTTCAGGAGGTGGGAATAGAATAGGAGACCTACAGTAGTTCCTTCTATCCTAAATATCTGTGAGTCTGTGCTTCCATGTACAGCTTGAGATAGAAGAAATGGAGCCAGCAGAGCCCCGGAAGATCCCCAGAAGCAAAACTGGGAAATTGGTAAAATAGCTGGCTTATATGACTCTTATTTCATGTGAAAACAGCACAGGAAAGATTCATGCACTCAGAACACATAAATTCCTGGTATTTTTAGTGTCCTAGAGTCCAGCATGGCCTATGAAATTCGATCTGCTTCAATAGAGATAAACCAGTTCACATGCTGAAGACCTGGCTTTTGATTTCTTGATTTCCTGGATTTTAAATATTGCTTAAATATTGCACATACAGATTAGCATATTAGCACAGATTAGATTTAGTAACCAAATTTGAATTGTATTGCAAAAATAATTGTCATTACTAAAATTTCAATGTGAGACAGGGATGCTTCTTTTTTCATAAATATGTTTCGATAAGGAATAAATCTTCAGTTTTGAGATCACAGCCTAGACTGGTGATTTTTATGGTAGCCTGTCACTAGTTCTGATACAGTGAAACCAAGTCAGTGTTTGCATTATAATCTCTGTGTAACTTGGCTGAAAAAAAAAAAAAAACAAAAAAAACAGTGGTCTAGCTGTAATTATTCACATACAGTTATAGTCCAGGAGCACACATTACAAAAATACTTGTAAAATTGGTTTCCTATTTTTAAGTTGTATAAATAGAAAAGTTTCTTAAAAATCTCTTAAATGCTGCACTCTAAATCTGAAAAAGAAAATTACCAAAAGATAACTGGTAGTTCAAATTTCACTTTTTTCAACTTTTCTCTTTTTAAAAAGGGTCAACAGTTAAAAAAACTTACGTTGACTGTTAAGAAACAGTTAAGAGATGGCGTTGCATGGAGGATAAGGGTGTCCTGATCCAACTCTGCACAAATAATGTTGACAGAGGTGTCTGGTGTGTAACAGGCCTAGCTGGAAAAGCATTACCCTCCTCCCCACAGCCTCTGCGCTGATGAAAATTTGGGCCTGTTGGGCCTGGAGAGGCTTCCAGCTGTAACTGTTACAAAAGTGCCGCAGCTTTAGGTTTCTGTGCGCACTGAGGCAGGACTGGAAGTAAACATGTTTTTTTATTATTTTTTGATTATCCGTTGGATATGCTTGTATTTGTTCCCTGCGGATCCTCACAGTTCAGGGTAAGGAGGTTCAGCTTAAGGGAGAAGTCAGTGCATGGAAAAACTAGTAGACTGCTCAAGGAATTCGGACTGCTCTTTTCTCTATGCAGATTATTGATCAATGCGTTGGTTGGAATAAGATCTGAGGTTTGCTCTACAAGATGGAAGTTTAAATAGCCAGCTGCTGACTTGTAACTCAGCAAGTCAATGAAATATATATCTTAAATACATATATTAAGAGTTAGAAACACTGCTTACATATTTTCAGAATCATTTTCAGAATATGTCTGTGCTTGTGTTACACCAAGCACAAATAACATGAGATTTAACCAGGAACCTGTAGGTTTTCTTTGCTACAAGCCATATTTGTAGATATGATATGAAAACTTAGCCAATTTACAATTCCTGGCTCATGTTTTTTTATTATGTTATAATCTTACAACTTGCCAAATAAAAATATTTGGGTTGTTTTCCTCATAAATTTTAATTTACAACTTTTTGGCACACAGAAAAGATAGATGAGGAACTCTGTTCCTGTGTGGTCATGAGTACAGTATGTTTGGTTTATGATATATTTTTTAATTTGTATGTGAAATATGCAGTGATATTACATGAATAATGTACTTTCCTTTTAAAATATGTTATAGCTATTTTTATTGGTGTGAAAATGGCTTCTGTTAATTGATTAAGTCTTTCTGTGCTGGCATGGATCTAGTTTAATATCAGTTTACTATGTTTTACCAAAATCTGTCTGTGTTTCCAAAGGGGCATTCCTACCTTCTCCTTCTACCTTCATTCCTTATAATTCCTGTCTTTTTTACCCTTTTCCTCACAAATTAAATCCTCCCAATAGCCACAACCTCCCTTGCTGGTTCTCCAGTGCCATACTAATTTTCCTTTGACTATTTTTTTCCTATTTCTTTGTGATACTCCTGATTTACTTATCCTTTCTATCCCATTTTTTACAATCCCGTTCCAATTTGTTTCTTTTTTTTAACAGAAGCTTTTTTGATTTTTGTGAAACTCAGAGCGAGCCTGAAATTCATTTACCATTGTGATCAACTGGTGTGATATCAGTTATAAAATGAACTCTTAAAACATCATATACTGCTTGAAGGTGAGGTCATCTTTACAGATAGATTTGAGGGGAGTAGAGAGAGAAAATAAAGAATAGCTTTACTATGTCAAATTTCTGTGAGTAATCTAAGCTTTGGAAATCTCATTTTGAAAAGAAAACTCAATGCAAAGTCAAGGGACTGAATTACATGAAAATAAGTAGATGAAATGTTTCCTGCAGTAGAAGGAGCACTTAAATGTTGGAACATTTAGACACAAGAGTGTAGTTATCACTTGTTTTTGATATCAGGATATTATGATATCATTGATAGTGCCACAGCATCTCTCCAGCAAGCAGTTTGGGTCTTTTGATTCCTATAACAGGGCTTGAAACAAAGGCTCACATTGTATCTGGAGGAGTGTCAGTGTGCCCAATACCAACAGCAGCAGTGGGACACCGAACTCCATCAGAAGGCCCAGATGCAGGAGACTTATTTAGCAAAGGATGCTCTGGGTCAAACTTGCCCTTGACAGCCCACCAAGAAACTTGGCAGGATTTTGTCAGAAATTTTGCAAGCCTTGCCAGCCAGGCCTCAGCAATTTTCAGAAAAACTAAAAATTTGGGGCTTGTAGAGTTAGAAGTTAACTAGTAACAAATTTGCTAAGGGACCTGCCAATTTCAGTATAGGGTGCATCTACACTTCAGAATTTGAGAAAATAGGAGACACCTGATTTTAGATTATCTGGTGGCAAAGGCTTGTAGGCCTGCCTCTATCTCAAGAAATCAGTCTGCTATTTCAAGCCCTGCTCTAGGGTTCAAAACTTTCATAATAATGATATGAAATATCAACACAAAATAATACCAACTGATTGCAGTTCTTTGCTTGTGATCATATCATTTATTTTTCCACACAATGCACCATCCAAACCAGAACACAGTGGTAAGTGTCCTTTCAGCTCTCCATTGGCTTAAAAAGAAAACTCCAAACTTTTGAACCAATCTTACTTTTTTTTTTTTTTTTTCCAAACGAATGAAACATGTTTTATCCAAACCATTGTGTCCACAGGGGGAAAAGGGAAAGAAAGGCAAAAAGGGGCCTAAAGGGGAGAAAGGAGAACAGGGTGCTCCTGGATTAGATGCACCTTGCCCATTGGTACGTCTCACTTGTGTATTGGACAAGTCGATCCTGCTGCTGTAGATTGATGCAATAAGAAATGAGGGGAGAGGAACAAGCACCAAGTCGAGTGTGAGCTGTTACCATTGGTCAACAGAACCTCATCTTGAGGTCTGGAAATTGAGAATAGACTTTGTGTCCTCCTAACCTGATATAAAGACCTTCGAGCAAAATCCCAATTTTGTTATTTTCTGCTGAACATGTTGGAAGGGAACCAAATCTGTTGTGCAGCAGTCAGTGCCTCACAGCTTGCAGGACCAGGGCTGTGAGCTTGCTCCTCTTGCCTCACCATTGTTGTTTGTTTACTCCAGCTAAGTCAATACCAAAGGCATTTCCTTGACAGTAACATTGCAAGTTAATCTTTACAAACAGGGATTCCGTGGAATTAAGGGGGAAAAAGGGGAGCCAGGCCAGCCTGGCCTGGATGGGCTGGATGCCCCTTGCCAATTGGTACAGTATTTCTCTTTCCTACCAACCCTGCATGCGGTTCCTTTGTTTGTAGTCAGCCATTCTCAGTGTAAAGTAATGTTTTTCTGAGCAGATTTTACATTATTTACTAACACATGCATGCGCATGAATAAACCAGCTGCTTCAGTGATCATAACTGTAATGAGTGAACACACATTTTTGCTGACACCTTTAATCTAACTCTTGGCAGCCTTTCCCATATCACATGCCAATTTATAAGTTTGTGTCCTTCCTACATTTTTCCCCAAGAGTTGTTTGTTTTTTTCCTCACAAAATGTCTATTGCCTTACTCACCCTGAACGCAAGTCTTTGTAGCAAACCAGCACAATGTCCACTTCTAATCAAGCCTGATGACTTCTGTCTGCACTGGCTCCCTTCACACTTGCCTGCCCTGGAGCTATTCTGTACCCTGGACTTCTTTTCAAGTCTGTGGAGTCTTGGGTACACGTATTCAAGATTTGGTTAAGATGAGATTTGTGTAAGAAGGACCACCTCTAAAATCACACCAAGGTTTCCACTAAGCAAAGCTGAAGCCTGATCCCCCAGACCTTATACAAGCAGTACTTTAGCTGCCTGGCCCCTCCATCAAATAGAATTCAGATCACATTACGAAAAACTTACCTGAGGTTTGTAAGAAGATAACAGTCTGCAGCCCAATCCCTCACTGTCTTTGTTATTTAACGTCTTCAATTTAATGGTCTTACCCTTGGAACTTACCTTCCTGAAACACACACAACACTCCCCCACTTCCCTGTTAGCATGAATTCGAGTTCCCACCTATACTAAAATTCTACTTGTTTACCCTCTCCCTTGTACCAATCTGGCAACACTGATTTTTATTTAATAGCAGAGTAAGTTCAAATACTTTCCATTTCAAAAATGAACAGTACATTCACATTTCCTAAAGATACAAAGTTTTTTTATTATTGGCAGTAAAATTTTATCTGCATGTTCTGATACTGTGTGGTAGTTGAGCACGGTTCTCCAAGATGAATGTTAAGTAGACTTTATTATCAACTATGACATTTCTAATTTAAAGTTATCAGTGGATTTTATTCTTAAATATATAGTCCATGTTATATTTTGTTTGTTTCCAATTAATGATAACCGTATCTCATATATTTTGTTGGGGGTAATCAAGCATGCTTTCATAATGTAAAAATGTGTCTCTGTTCCTCTATTATCATTTGTATCTGGAGATTCATAAACAACTACCGATGAAGGAAAAATATTCCATTCATAGGTAATTACTAGAATAAGTCATTAAGCAGACACTGCTCTTCCTTGCTTTGGACAGCAGGCCATTCCCATCAGCTTATACACACTCACATTAAAAAATTCTCATATTAATCACTATTTTGAGCATATCTTCATGTAATAATTATTTCTCCTCTTTATTCTAAGAAATGTCAAGGCCTCATTTATATTTTCTTCTAGCTTATAGTCTAGTGGCATAATATATGTTGCTAATGTTTAGCATTTAACTCTTTGACGGATAAGCCCTTTATAGCTATTTAAATTGAAATTAATTCCACAGCACAACAGATCTGCTTAACAGATCAAATATTTGCTGTGATCTTAGTAGACATACAGAAATGCCTGAAAGCAGGGTGGTGGCGGAAAAGACATGCAGTCACTCTCACTAACATAGCAAATTAGATGGCCTTGCTGTTCAAACTCTGAAACAGTCAATGCTGCCTCCGTCCTTATCTTCAAAGATTTCTTTCTGCTGTTTCATCAGGAAACGTGTGCAGGGCCGAAGCTTTCACTGCTTCATTTGAAAACTAAGAATGAAAGTAAGCAGAGAAAGATTCTAGTAGAATTTGAGTATAACTATCTTATCACTGGCTTAACTTTGTACTAGAGGGCCATGAAAAAAAAAGCAATACACTCCAGATAAAAGTGATAACATTTTCGCTCATTGATCTGGTACATTCAGCTAGAGATTGTTAAGAATGACAGCCCAGATTGTTGATAATGCACAGCCTGAGCTCTTAACAGCAATGGGAAAGTGATTAAGATGGTCTTGCGATTAGATAAACAGTAGTAATGATTTAGAAAAAAACAAACCTTTCTGGCAGGGAGGCATGTATGTATGTATGGTGTAAACATTCTCTCCTTTGTTTTTTTCCTTCACCCTGAGAATGAGAGATAACTGTTAAGTTAGGAAATAGTAGTGATTTATTAGCTAGAAAGGCAAAGTTGCTCCAGCTGTTCTGACAGATACTGAGAAACTATCTATTATGCAAACCTAACTGTGCTCTTCTTCACTCCCTAACCCCAAAACAGGGTCCTGATGGATTACCAATGCCTGGCTGTTGGCAAAAGGTAGGATGGGCAGAGTTTCTTCTTCCTGGGGTACACAGAAAATCCTGTCACAGTCATACTGCACAGTGTGCTGATATACTTAAGAATCCCTTTGACAGTTCAGTGTATGCGGCAACATTTAATAAGACTTTTCCATGACAGGATTTGGTGTTACAAGGTTGTAAAAAAATATACACAGAAGTAATAAATCATTGAAGCAGTATTTAAGAAGAATTGGCAGTGAATTTCTGGAAATTCAAAACTTCTTTTTTAATATGAGAAGTCATGCATCCTTTGGTTTCTGCGCATGAAACACTGGTTGCTACTCTTTGTAAAAGCTCATGGATATGGTAGCTCTGTCAACTAGATGTACTGTTCTTTTATGGACTGTTTTTTTTCTGGAATGCATTAGAGAAAAGAAGTGCATCTTGCCTTCTCTTTGCTTTATCTTTCTATTCATGTGGTACATTTTCCTGATGGTTTTATTAGATCTTACCATTATCTTATGTCCTGTTAACTGGCAACATTATTTGGTAATGACTTAACCTAGACAAGGTTTAAAAATATTAGTATGCAGAGCAAAGCTGTAAGTGGGTATTGGCACATTAATACACTAGAAAAAATAACCACAAGTGAAATTCTGGATGTGTATAAACCAGTGACAAAACAGTTACTGAATTAATTGGAGGCAAGTTTTTGCCCCAAGCCTTTTTCAGAACTATTTCCAGGTTGTTATTTCCCAAGAGTAGCCTCTGAATGATGAGAATGGTTGTGTGCAAAATACTTTGTTTGAGAACTGTCCGTTCACATGTTGCTCTGTGGGTTAGAAGGTGAGTGTAGGCTCCAAGCCAGGAAGTGCATGAGCTGCTATGAGCAGGTGTGCAAATCAGGCAACTGACAAGTGTCCTTACACATGTGTCCTTACACATGTCTAGCCAGAGGGATGGTAAACAGCATTTGTTGAGCAGTTATTCATGGTACAGCTAGGCACCCCACATAGGCAGACCACTATTTTTTCCTATTTGCTTGCTTTCACATAAGAAAATTTAGATCTATTTGCAAAGACCCAGTAATTAATGAGCCACCAATAAAAAGGTATTTTACTTTCTGTAGCAAAAATGCCATTTCCAATTTTAAAAAAGAGGGAAGGAAACCAAAGGGCCAGGCAAAGGAGAGTATTTGTAAACCAGTTCTTACTAAATGTGCTTGTACCTTCTATTTCTTTTTTGTGTGTCTTTTGATGAACAATAGTTTCTGAAAAGAGTCAAGGTAGCTGAGGGCCAAATGTAATACTCAAAATCTTATCAAGTTACTAGTACTTCCACGGGATGATGTGTACACTCCTGCGCATCCTGTTGCTGGAAGGGAACTCAAGTCACTCCACCTCTCAGGACAGCTCCTTTTACTACACAAAGCCAGTTAATTGGTAATGAAGAATTTCCTCCTCTTTAGTCCCAAGAGTGACTGGAGCAGATTGGCACATTGTTTTAAATTGTTCTGCTTTCAAAAAAAGTTGCTGAGAAAAATAAACAAACAAAAACCTAAGTAAGTTGAAAAACTAATTTTGATATATATACACACACACACACACACCCCCCTTAATTATACCAAAATAATTATTCCCACTAAGTAGAAAGGGAAGTTGCCAAGCATCTTTTGTAAGCACTGCCTCAAACAGCTGAAAAAACCTACAGTAATTACTACTGTTGTGGGCATATCTGAAGAATAGCTGGTGCTGAGAAAATGAAGATAAAATTCTACCATATCCATGTATTTATTGGAATAGAAATTTGAAATAGTGATTTACTAACCTGGTCAATCTGTATCTCTTTTTATCTCTTTGCAGTGATGACTCTAACCTTACAAGCATGAAGTTGTGTATAGTGCTCCACTTTTTGTATTTATAGTTGAAAACTGAAAATTTGATTTTACAAGTCTGAGATATGTTTACATGTAGCTGCTTCTACTTGTTTGCAGTAGTCCATGTGTACATTTTCTTTCCACTTACATCTGCAGTTAGATGTTACATAACTGCAGGAGAAACCTGCAAGACTCTCTTGAGAGATCTATACAGACATTGATAATAGAAATCTGATAATTTCTGTAAATCCTTATATTTTGGCTTGTGGACCTGCATGGACAATGAGTGCCATGAACTAGTTTACAAGAAATTGTGACCAAATAAGAGCTAAATGCTATCAAATGTACTGTACCAGCTGCCATTGGAGTTTACTGCCTTGGCTTCCGTGTCCATCCTAAATGCTTCACTGATTCATGCCACCATATCTGCTTGTACCGCCTAAAAAGCATGAGTTGTGTGCCAGACCTGCTTGTTGTGTGATCACGTCACCTGCTAAATGGCTGCTCACTGTGACCTTTGATTCAAACTTCTGAATTGTTTCCTTTTGTCATCTAAAGGGAGTCACACCATGGCTTATTGCTAAAAAGAGATAAAGCAGAGGAGAGTAGAAAGAGGCCTTGAATTTTTGGGGAATGCAGTTCCAGCTGCAGGTGGATGGCTTCGAGCTTTGTGGGTCACCTTCGTGCAGACCGGTCCTACCCGTTGATCAGCATCGGTTTGCCTTGCGCTGCTCACGGTCATGAAGACATTGGTGACAGGACCTGCCGACTGCTTCATCCAGAAGGAGAGAAGTTTGGAGAAGCCAGACTTCGCTGTAGGTTGCTTGAAAAGGTTACAAAGATGCTGCAGGGATCACTGGACAGCAGATGCTGCTGGAGACCAGAAGCTTCTCAACCTTACGATATGTGCTCTATGTACTGTGTTTTAGGACTGCTGAAAGAAGCATTTCTGAGACAGGGGGAATTGGAACATTCTCCTCTGGCAAACTGTGGAACTGACTAGCTATGTATGTACCGTAGCGTGCTTTTTCAGGTGATTCAATTGTTGACTTTCACTGCAGAGTTTTGGAAGCTGTGGTTAATTTTATTTTTATCGTAACAGTTTCCATAAAGGATACATTTCAATAATCTATTCAACATTTGTGATGATGGCTTTGAGGAAAGTAATTCAAATCATATGTTTGTCTTGTTTCAGTATTAACAGTTTTTCTTTTTACAGTTTTTGAAACCTTTAAATTTAAAAAAGTGTTTATTTTTAGGTTTCATGGGCTGAGTTTTTTTCATTTTGTTCTTATTCTGCTATTGCAATGACTTTGGTGTACGTTGTTACCCAGAAAACACTAGAGAAATGTCGATGTGGTTACTGTTGCACTCTTGTCATCATTGTACACTGTAAGAGGTGTAATTATTTCTCCATTTCTGATCAGATGACTAGGATTTAAGAGAAACATGGGCAACAATTTGCTTCTTTTTTTTTTAATTACAAGGAGTATCTAGTTGATGCACATTTGTAATTTTTTGCAACAGGCATTTTATATGATCTTGAGTCTTCATATGGTGCACTGTACTTAGTTAAGAAATTAGTTTATGAGATGGTGCCATATTTGGCAGAAAGAAATTCTTTTCATATCACCTCAATTCCTAATGCATAGCAGGATGGTAATTATTTTAGTTACTTTTCTGAGTGTTTTGTGTGTGTGTGTGTGTGTGTGTGTGTGTCCCTAGAGCTGAGGAAGGCAGCTTGTTTCCATCCATGTGTGGGCAGCTTGTCTATCTGCGAATGCACAGATTCCTTGACTGGTCATTTCTGAGTTGTGTGAAGATGAAGCCCTGCTGTGGTTGCACTTTCCAACATCACTTTAGAATCCCAGATCAGTAGAACTGCAGCTCTAGTGCTGCTTCTCACCTTGCTAAATGCTGATTGTCATTGTTGTATATCAGGGACAAAAACATCCTTTCCTGGAGGAAAATCTTACACAACATTTTTTAAAAAAAATCTCAAAATTACTTTTGAGGCCTCTATCTAATAGCACCCTGCTAGAAAAATAAAGTTTCATATATAGATAGATGGATGGAAATTTAGAGAGATATACAGAGAAAATAATTTTTAATGCTCAATTTCATCTTTCTCACAATACAAGATAAACAAATGTTCATAGATATGAGGAAGAGTATTTTCTTTGTTTAAACTAACTCAGATATCATATTGTGTTGCATAATTTAATATAAAGTTTGATTAATTAGAATGGTACAGTACTAACAGCAATAAAGACTTTTCCAGGAAGGGGAAAAGAGGAGCATCATATAAACCCTTCTATTTCTCAATTTTATTATTATACCAGTTTCAAAAGAACCATTTCAAAATCAGAAAAAAACACAAACAAAAAAACAAGTTGAGGAGCAAGGTATCACGTCAACTTAAAGGAATTTCTTTAGTATTAAGTGTTCTGACTTGAATTATACGCACATTATAGATGCATGTTTTTGTAAACTATCAAATAATGGCAACTATACAGTAACATAAGTATATTCTTTAAATATGTCCCTTGGAGTATTCAAATGCAAGATAAAGTAGGATGTATACTATTTGGCTAGTCATTTTAGCAATTCTATATTGCGAAAGTCCACAAACACAAATCATTTTAAGAAATAGCATCAAAACCTATCAAATGGATCAATAAAACTGGTGGAATTTTTGTTCATGGTTTCTTCATTTAAAAAAGACAATTTAGATTCATTACTGTTAAATGTAATTTAACATTATTTTTACTCCAAAACATCAGTCAAAACTTGGTTTTCCTTTAACTCACTGACTCCAAGGCCTGACAGAACAAATACTTACATATATATATATATGTTCATTTTCTTTATTGCAAAGTAATTTCTGTATTTGACTGCTTCCAGACAGCTATGCTGTTTACCTCAATTTATCTTAACTTCCTAAAGCCTCTGTATTGTTTAGTGCCATGAAAAGGTTAATCCCTTAAGTCATAGTGGGTGAACAGCAGATACATAATGTAATTTGACAGGTTAAGCTAAATATATAAATTTGATATTAATATTTGCATAAAATATTTGCATCACAAAGATTTACTTGGTGAAACCCAATAATACATAGAAGAGTTGCACATAGAGTACACAAAAAGTAAACTGGGTTTAATATTTCATTAAGAAAGCACCCTGTGAAGACTTGTAATGTTTATTTTTCTAAAAAAAATAATTATTTTTGGTGCTAATGTATCTTTTTTTCTTTTGATGACAAAGCTACCGTTTGAACCACCTGTGCGTTATATCTTTTAGCAGCATTCCTCCAATTAGATATGATTTGTTTTGCTTAGTTTGCGCATTCACTGAAATGTGGCTCCTCTGCCAGTCTTTTTAGTTGTAGAAATGTGTTGGTGATATTACTCCACGCAGTTTATATATCCTTGACTTTTTCAGATAGGATTAATTCTTATTCTTTTGAGAGCTTTCAGTATTTTTTGATACCAAGTTTTGTAAACATCAATTACTCAAATATGTAATAATTACATTTGTGCAGAAGTTCTGCAACAGAAGCAGTAACTCTACTGAGCACTGTTTGAAATACACTTAAAGCACGTAGTCTTTGTCTTCATAGATTAGCTATGGGGAATATTTCCTTCAGGATGCTTTGGACACCTTTTCGTTTTTCCCTGAGGTAAAGCATGAAACATTAATTCATGAAACAATAATATAATGTATTTTTGATTTATTTTCTTATTTATTGCCAATTTTAATGTCACTTTGATATTGTAGCAAAGCAGAATGATGATCTTCATCCTGTTGTTTTATATTCTTTTTGTCTACCATGTAAGTATTATGAACAAGTTTCAAAAAGATCAGATCAGGCTATCTGCATCCCTATGAAGTATCCAGCTTAAAGAGGGTTTGCCCTGAAGATTCATGTGCAATGTGGAAAGTTAGCACTGGATCCACTAAGCACAACAGTAGCAGAAAAGCGTGTGTGTTAGCGCTTGGTTACTCACCCAGGGAAGAGCAGGGCAGCCCCCGCGGCCCACGTCACCCTTCGGCGCCAGGGGGAAGACGGTGCTGGTGAAGGCTGCGCGTGGGGCAGGAGACCAGGTTGGAATCCTGGGACCATTGACTGGGCCCGGGTGTGCAGCAGTGACACGAGGGAAGAGATACAGCCTTCCCTTGGAAAGCACTTTGGATGGGAAGCGAATGAGAGGTTATTCAGTAACAAGAAGAATATTGTCCAATATTAGTGTTTTGCCCAAATGAGGATTACTTCAGGCAGTAAAAAACTGCAAAAATTCTCCTGAACGTGATTAAGATGTTACAAGACATGCAGAACTGACCTTTCCTTTCAAAAACCTCTGCTGCTTGACCATCTTAAAGGGAGATTTTAAATTGTAGTTTATTACCTTTATTTTCACACTTGAGTGTCACACAGAAGTACTGATGTCTGCAAAGGCAGCAGTTAAAAAAAACAGTGTTGTTTTAGAGATTGAAAATAATGGTTGAACTTCAGTGACGAGAACTAAGGCATGCGCTTTGTTTTCTTTCCACCGCTTGTTATCAGGAATCTGAATGTTGCTGGAATTTGCAAATGAGTATTTTCTTATACCCTTTGTTTCTTAAATATTTTACAAGGTGACAGGACTCATTAAATGATGTTAGTAAAAAGTGCCTGTCACCATCATTCCTGTGAGAGAATCTGAAAAAGATACTTCACTAAGCAAGTGGAATCTGTAGTTTATGAAAAGGATTTGGAGTGTTGTTTTTGTTTCATTCTGTATTTTTTTAAATGCACCCAGTTATCAATGCTGCTTTGAAATTGATTTTCTTTGGAAAACAGGGGGCCTTAACTTAACCTGGGACCGTTAGTGTTTTACTTATTTCTATTTAAAAATAAATTGTATAAGTTTCCCAGATACTATTGGTACTTGCACATTTTTCTGAAGTATTATGAAGAGTTGGGTTGATGGAAGAATGTTTTACATACTGTTAACATATATATGGATATTCTTATATTAATGTACATGTTTGGGAAAATATCACACAACTTGTAAAATGTTACTAAGATGTATGTATCTGACTTTTTCCTTTGGAAAATATTATATATTTTTATTTGTATTTTTTACTTTTTTTAAATTCATCTATATGTGCAGTTATTTTTGTATTGCAAATGGCCTCTTACATGCAGTAGAGGAGATTAAAAAATACAGAGAGGTAAACTGGCAAGGATTACACTGCTTTTGGGGAAAAGTTGACACTGACCAGTCAATCCTCAAAATAATATTGTGTGTCTTAACACTACACATATGGCACACAAACTCTTTTGCCTAGTAGTGTGAACAATTGCAAACTTTAAATTACCCATTTTAATTTGTTATTAATTACCACTTTATTGTGGCTGCTGGTCCTGACTTGAACTGAACCTGATTAAACAGCATGCTTTTGTTTTTAGTATTAAAATTTCTCCTTAGTTTTCAGTTGAATATTGTTTTGTTTTGAGTTTTGTACTTCAGTATTTGTTTCTTGCTTTTGAGAAGTTGATCTTCAGAATTATTTTTACACTATTTATGATTTATTTTCATAATGTAAAAAGTGTGTAATTATTAAAATATTAATCCAACTATTGATGCTGTTTTGCATAGTTATAAAATTCTCAGTGCTGGTTCAAAAAAATGTTCTAGTCTGTCTGGACTGGAAAAAAATGTGTTGTGCTAATTTGTAGCTTGAAGTTTAGTGCAGGTCATGCCAGTTGGTGTTCCCTGAGCACTTCTCAGGGAGGGTCAAGAAACAAAATCAGGGCACTTGCAGCATGTTCCCTTTTCCTACAGCGCACAATAAGTATTAGATCGCTCTTCCTATCCCAATAGGCCTTTTCCCTTCAAAGTAAGTCCGCTCTGTCATCTTTTCTAAACAGCACAAATTGCCGAGGTCCACAGAAAGTAAGAAAGCAAAGGCAGAAGCTTCTGCACAGCACTTAGAGCCTCCCCCCACCCTAGAAAGGCTGCAAGGGTGGACAAAATTGCTAAGGCAAGTTCCCAGGCAGCCTGGCATACAGAGCCCTAGAGCTAAAAAGCACCAGTAAATCACTTCTGTAATATTAAGCAGAAAAATAAACTCTGTGGGAGATACACTGTGCCTGTGTACACCTGTAAGGAGTAAGAAGGTAAACTAGAGAATGCAAAATTGTGTAACCAACCATAAATCAGTTTTGATTAAAAGCAAAATATGGAGCATAGTAATTACTGCCAAACAGTATCTTTTCAAGCACCCCAATTTAAGCAGACCCATTTTTGCATGAGTCTTCCTGAGCAAAGAACATTTTGGGGGAAATCAAAGTATTGGGCAACAGTAGTAATATATTCTATTATTCAAAGCATTAGCTAACTGTTCAGGTGTTCTCCATCCTAAGACATTTCAGACAGATACAAATGTCCCCTGTTTTCCTCCGCTCTTTTACTTCAAAATATCATGTAGACAGAGCACAGCCATGCTGCACACGAGGTAGCTGTGAGCCCTTGGGATGCACATGGAATGCTTATTACCTTATCCCCCTCCTTACCTTTTTCTTTCTTGTTTTTTTTAAGTGGTCTTTTTTATTATTATTAAGGTCACCATGCATCTCCAGCTCTAAGCTTTGCCAGCCTACTACCCGCTCAGCTAATCCTTACCCACTTGTAAGGAGAAGAGTACAGAAGTCACAAAAATACAGCAATATTTATGTGCTCATCTCATGCAGCTCCATCTAGTGATTCAACTATAATCACCATACACAAATAACAATTTTAAATAAAGAAAACAACAAGCAGCTGACAAGACATTCATGTTACAGCTGGTATAACCACACCCAAATAAGTAAATATTTAGAAAAACAAAATAGTAACCAAGCATGTAAGTCATGTTCTGACAAGCAGCACTGCTCTGTATCCCCGCTGTTTCTGTCCCCATTTGGTTGGCTTCTGTTAACTTCCAGACTCCAGCACTAAAACCACTTTCTCCCCCTCTTCTGAGTGCATTGGAAAAATACACTGCTTTTACAGTGACACGGTAACCAGAGACACTGAGCAACCATGGCTCCTACTGGTATTGCCCCTTGCATCCACCTGGAACTAAAATGTCCCTAGCAACTTTTTGCAGACTTTTGGGAGTGCCCCTCTCTGTGGTGTATTATGACTGTTTTGGGAAAAAAACAGCCTGGATAAGCCTGACAAAAACAAATTTAGCAACAAAAATGCATGTACTAGAACAACACACACACACACACACACACACACACTTCACTGTAACAACAATTAGCTTGAGGCAAAAAAGAGAGATGCCCATATAGCAAATTAGCCACTTACTTATTTACTTACTTACAAAGCTGGAAACACAAACACTGTCAGCACTCAACGAGTCTCTACAAAAGTTACTCAGGACCCAGTCAGTGTGCAAACAGCCCCGGAAGGCTCCGCTCAGGAAGCCCCGCACTCTTGGTTCTTCTCTACCCCAGCCAGGCATTAGGCAAGTGCTTGGTGCACCGAGCACCACAGCCCCTCACAGGCAGATAGAGCTGCCCAGTGCCCCCCCCCCCCCCAGAAACAAAAATATGGAGCAGAAATCCACTTCACCCAGCACCAGTCACACAGCCCTTTAAGAGCCTAACACCAAAGAGGAGCTTTTTATAGTAAATGTGGAGCAGCTGGTTACCCCTGCAAAGCAGCAGGTGGGTGTGGGATGCCTGTCTTTACCTTTCTGTACTGAAAAGGAGCTTCACAGGAGAGCATTTACCATTTGCCAGCTGTGAATGGTCCACTTCTCAAGCAGGCATGGCAATACATTATTTTTCACAGGGACACTTAACTCCTTAAGCAGGAGTTAGCCTAGTTCCTTAATAAGGTGAGACACCTTCATTGACTACTCTGAATGGCTCCTAGAAACCTTTAGCTCTCTTCATGAGCCAGACTGCTCATTCCTGGTACCCTGCTAGGACCAAGCACTCAAATAAGGAAAAAAAAAAAAAAAAAAAAAAAAAGCAATTAAAATGCTCAACAAGCAAGCAGCATAGAATGGAGAAAAGAGCATGTTTAATTTAAAACAAATAAAAACCCTATTTTAATAAATCTCTGTCTTTTGGGAAGTAGTGGCTAGCATGTATTCCATGCACATGTGAGAGGTGAGGCAAAGAGTTAAGAACCCTAAGCAAAAGAAGTGCTGGCAAGCCTATGTATCAGGTGACTATGATATTCTACAGGCTCTTTCTCAGCAGTTGGGGAAAAAGCCCTCATCAGCGCTGAACACTAACCTGCCAAGCTTTCCCTGCTGATTGCATCGAAAGACCGTGTACAAATCATGAGTCACAAGGGAGGGATGTCCTTGCTTGCTAGTGTGCTTCTGTGGCTATTTCCATGTTAGGCACATCCCATGGTAGCAAAGCAATCATCTGCTTTATAGCCACCTGTTTATTTCACACACCAGCCTGAGTTTTCCTGATGAACTTGGGGGAATCTCTTCAAGCAATTGCTTGCTTAACTGAACAAGTTTTCAAGGGCTCAGTCCTGGAACAGAAAACCCTGATCTAAGCCGGCCGTACCAGCTGCTGATATGCCTTTGTGCTACCTGACAAGAGCAGTGGCCCAAGAATCGTGGGCCAGTATAAGTGGCAGAAATCTTTTCAGCGCTGCTATTCCCAGCAGTCCCTGGCGAAGGATAAGGATGAGCTCACCGCCAACAGAGGGCAGCCATGCACAGAGTGGAAGGAAAAGCATTTGGCCTTAAATGCCTTCAGAGTTATTCAGAGACTTGCATGCAGGGATTCACTGGGGAAACCATGTCCTGGTGCTAGTATTATTTTCTTACACTATTTTTACAAAGGATCTGCAGTTAGGTCCAGTACTTAATGCATATGGCTCAAACTACATCCACCATTAACCATCTTTTTTCAGCTACGAGAAAAATCAGGCAAAAGAGGAAAGCGCTGCAGACAGAATTCCTGAGAGGCTCTGGTCTAAGGCTTGACTTGGCTGTTAGATCTAAATGCCTGGTCTCAATGCGAGCCCATCGGAAGGCACTGGGCACTCCCTGGGGTTTTCCACACTTTCCGCCTGGCCGTGGCTCTGAGGGCCGTTGGGCTGGGCCGAGGAGGCTGGCTGCTCACAGTGTGTGCGTACTGCAAGAGCCCACGCTTACCTGGCTCTTAGCGAAGATGGAGAGCTGAGGTTTCTGACAAAGCAGGGATGCAGGAACAAGCAGCAAAACTTCAAAATTAACACTGTCTGAAGAAGAGAAGGCTCAAGAATACACCTGTGAAAGCAGAAACGCTGGTGCTATAGGCTAGAGAAGCAAAAGATTGTTTTTTTGTTTGTTTGTTTTGTCAGAGACATAAAATGCATGCAAAAATTAAGACCTGTGTTTCCTCATCTGTAAAAAGGATGATGACTTAACTGGCTACCAATCTAGAAAAGGCAGCAGCACTCGGAATCACCTAACTTAATCATCTCGCTCCTAAAAGCCTTCCAAACACAGCGCTGCAGGTAGCAAGAACACAGGGCGCAGGTTTTGCTGCTGTCAAGGAACAACCTCCAGGGGGACGAGCGGGCACAGGCTGGGCAGAGGGGAGGAAAGCTGAGCTGCTCTCCCAAGTGTTTCACCTGACACTTGGAAATGAGATGCACAACAAAGTGAAAATCAGCCACTTGTCCTATGGAAACGGTGTCCTCCTTTTCTCATGACCTTTTGCTTTCGAACATTCCCCACAGTAAGAAAGTCAACAAGGAGTTCATTGCTCTGCAACTTTCTGTGCCTTGCTGTTGTACAGCCAGTAACAGAGAATTTAAGCAGCACGTGGAGGAGCACGGCCGGCAGCTGCCAGCGCCATGTGACAACTGTCTGGGCAGAACGACTCCAGCCTGCACACACACAACAACCCCTGTGAGCAACCCCAGGCTGTGCCCTGCATGAATCCAAAAAAAAAAAAAAAAGTGTGGGGTGGAGTCTGGAAGGAGAGAAGGAGGGAGGAAAGGAGGAGTTCGGGTACAGCATAAAACACTGCGGCTGGTGGCACAGCACAGGAGGGAAGGCAGGATGGGGGAGCCCTACAGCAAGGCAGAGACCCTGGCACTGCGGAGGAAGTACATCGGGTAGGGGTGACTCTGGGACATGCAGGACTGCGGGGCCAGGCAAAGGCTGTGGCTGCCGGGGTGCCCCATGGGGCCCCCAGGCTTTGCTTCTGTCCTAGGCGGGGGGGGGAGGGAGGGTGGAACCCATGCGCCGTGTGTGTGTGTGTGTGTGTGCGCGCACGCTTTCCAAAAAAAAAAAAAAAAAAGTAAATTCCTCTGATACGGCATGTGTCCTCCATGGAGATGACTGTACCCAGTAGGACCCACATGGCACAAACTGTCAATTTTGGCTAAGGGAGTAAGTGCAGATAACTTTTTTTTCCACAGAAGTTCAACCCAGAACTGTACTTGACAAGATAGGCATCAAGCTTCAAAGCAGAAGCAGCCCAAGTGCAAGCGCGGGGACCATGACAGGACCTTGCTCACCTTGGGAGCGGGGACGGGTTGGACACACCTTGGCGGGGGCGGGCGGCTCTGGGCAATTAAGTGCTCCATAGCCAAGGCGTGAGCGCTGAACCACCGCAGTATCTTCTGATGCAAAGCGGCTGAGAGCATCTGTAGGAAATCTGAGACTTCCCAGTTAAGCAGCAAGTCCATATGGTGGTGGCTGAAGGAGGAAGAAAATAACAAGTTAGCTCTTTAGTTTTACTCTTTAGTTTGCTGTACTGATAGCTAGATGTTTGGGCCACTACTAATTCCAGGGGAGGAAAATGCAGTCACTTACACAAAGCACATAAAAAGCTACTTCATTTTTCTAACAGAGATGATAGCAGAATAAAGACAGAATATGGTATATGATACTGCATAGTTAGTTTGTGAGGAAACTGAATGCTCTTGAAAAATAACTTCTATGTTATATGGAGTTCAGGAGATTTCTTGGACAAGAATAATTGGGGGAAACACAGGGAGGTGCAATTTAGATCCGAACAATGGTCCTGGCTATGCATGTACCTGATCGTCATTGTTGCAACACTATTTCCTCCAGAAGGGGCAATTTTAATTCCTACATCAGTAGGAGTTGACACATAGAAAATCAGAATGTTAAAGTGAATGCTGATTGTTTACAAGTTATAGCTTAAATACGTAGACTATATAGAAAACTAACTCAACGGTCATAAAAAATCAATGGCTTCATAAATCATGATTATTATGTTATCTTTTGGGGCCAGCTGCACATTACTGAAGTCTTGCCTGGCAAGGATGATAGTGCTGAGCCACGCTGAGCACAAAACAAGAAGCTCTCACAGAAAGGACTGACACCTACTAGAAGGGAAAACTGTAGTCAGAAATGACCCTTGAGGACTTTGCATGCCACTTTTAAAGTGCAGCAGAGGAGTTGTCAAATACATCAGAGAAAATCTGTGCGACAGAACTAGAAACTCTAAGAGAAGGCACTGACATGTAAGAAAAGTCCTTTCTTTGAGGCACATTCAGGCTCAGTAGTAGTCTCAATATACCATATAACATGGCTGCAAATTTAGCATCAAGTTACTTGAAAACAGCTATGTTTATCTGAAGGCATGTAAACAATACAGAAAGTTCAGAACTCTTTCCTTCTGCTCAAAAATATCATTCAACATAGTAGTATCACCAGAACACATTAGTGTTATGCTCTTGAATGTGACCTCTATACCGCACAGCCTCCCATTACGTAATAAATTTTTGGCTATAGCATAAAACAATTCCTAGCAGCTTAGTTCTATTCCCAGAGCGCTAATTGACTATACATGTTTATGAGGCATGTAAACAAACAGAACTACATCCTAGAGACACATGCAGGCATATAAGGCCAAGGAATGGCTTTGCATTCATTGCGCTCCCATGAAAACACTTGAAAATCTGAATGGAGATTTGAAGTCACCCTTATCAAAAGACCTAATTCTGTTCCTGCACAGGTGCTGGGCAATGTTTTTTACTTCAGGGGCAGCCCCATTTGACCACCTTCTAAGCCACTCACAAGCTCTTTGCAGAGAAAGGCAGCCATCTCCTGAGCGGCAAAAGATGAGCACTCTCCACACTCATGGCAGGAGGGAACCACACAGAGAACTACAACAGTGTTCTTCTATGCATTTTATAGGCCTTCCTGCAAAGTTTTCTTTGCCAAGGACCCTCTGAAGATAGTGCGTGCTCAGGGTCAATACATGTTTGATGAGAATGGAGAAAAATACTTAGACTGCATCAACAACGTTGCCCATGGTAAGCAGTTTAACTTGTAATACCGCTTGCTCTATTGCTGGTGTTTCCATCATTTCTAATAGGAATCATAAGACACTTCTTCCAAGCACTGTATATTCACAGTGCATCTCTCAATCTCCCTGCGCAGCTCAATAACTAACTGCTCGCTAGCAATAATTAATCATTTTCTTCTGTAGTTGGTCATTGTCATCCACATGTGATAAAGGCAGCCACAAAACAGATGGAACTGCTCAATACCAACTCCCGATTCCTGCATGACAACCTGGTTCAGTATGCTCAGCGTCTCACAGCTACCTTGCCAGAGAAACTCTCCGTTTGCTATTTTGTTAACTCTGGGTATGTCTGAGTATCTGTGTTTTCATTATGCCTATTTTGTGCCTGTTTAAAATGGACACTCAGAAAAACTTTGTCTAAATCTTAAATTGAGAATAGTAGAACTTAGTGAAAGCAACAAAAATACTTCCTGTACTTATTAAAGGATCCTTTGTAATTCAGCTGTCATGTTTAGTATGATGACTCAACATAAGAGAACAAAAGCATGAAACTGGTCTGCTGCGTGTTATGTGAAACAGAAGGGGAAAAGTAAATCAGACCCTGCAAATAGGTGTCTATACTCTGTGTGCAAATACTATCTGTTAACTGACACAGGCCTTTTTAGGGAAGCAGTGCTCCTTTAGTCTAGAGTCACTTTGCCAAAGGAGGTAACCTGTAGGAACCTGAGCAGAGAGGGGCTGCTACGAGTCAGGTTTAAAATCGGGTTTGTACTATTGGGAGTAGGTTTGTCCCGTTGGAGCAAGCTCTGCAGGCTGTGCAGAGGGTAGGAAACGCTGCTGGTACAGGCCAGGGTTGCGCAGTTGCATTGTTCTCTCAGCTGCTGGCTGCTCTCTGCAGTGGTCTCATTTGTACCAAGAAGAGGTAAATTTCTACTAAACAAGTAAACAGGGGGAGGGAAATAAAGCATCTCTTTGTTTGCTGTTCATACAAAGCGCTGTGTTTACTCCCTCTCTACAGGGCATTTCACAGTCTCAACCCAGCCTTCTCATCTGTCCACTAACAGAGTCTGCTGTGTTGACTGGTTATGTCCATCCCTCTTATGTGTTAGAATAAAATTTTTATAGAAGTTTGCTACCATTTTTATGGATACATGGTCCTCTAGCATCTCTTGTTACGCAGGTCCGAGGCAAACGATCTTGCTTTACGACTGGCTCGGCAGTACCGCGGGCACCAAGACGTGATCACCCTCGACCAGTAAGTGCCCAGCACAGCTTATGCAAGTGCACAAGCAACTGCTGCCATTTCTCCAAAAGGGGCTTTGCAGCAGGTGAGCCGCCTGCTGCTTGTACTGTACAGCCCATGGAAAGAAAAGCTTTGGTGCTCTGCTTTTCTACTAGGACGGGTCAGGAAACAGTGCTCCTATTCCACATTTAACCAAACACAAGTTTTGAAGATTCCTGAAAAAAAAGAGCTTGTCAATCACCACACAAGGCCAGTCACCTGTTACAGAGCATTTCCCACAGAGACACTCCCAAGTAATTTAGGTCAGGGACTTGAACGTTAGTGTCAGTTACGTGGCAGCGAGTGCTCTCTGCACTGTTCTGGAAGACGGCTTTCTGGCTGGCTTTGCTGGAAGTGTTTCTTTTGTGCAAATAAATACATATACAATGTTCTAGAAGAAAGATTGTGTAGTTCTGCAATAGCACTGACTGCCTGCTGCACCAATATTCAGCTCTCCTCCAATCAAGACATAAATACACACACAAAACCAAGTGGTTCAAAAATCAGGAGGAACCAAGAGAGACATAGCGAAGGCTCTCGGGCAAGTCTCTGGGCTTCCCTGTTCCAGAGGCAGCCATTATGCTGGCTACACTGGTGAGGTCTGGATCTTTTCCTCACACTGGGATCACAGATTTCAGGAAGAACAACTGCAGGACTATGTGTCTTTGAGCAGCACATGGCTCTGAATGGATCAGTTGGATCCCTGTTAGCTCTCCTTGGCTCACATGGCGAGTCTTGGAGTTAATGAGAGTCACTGCAGACACGAACAGCCTGATGAGTCATTTTCTCTAATTGCAAACTCTTGTTCTTCTCAACATCACAGGTATTTCTTTGCCCAAGGTCCAAAACTTGCCCAAGGTCCTTTGCTTCAAGTTTATGGTTGAATGAAACTGTTTATTCCTTGGACTGAATGAATTAAAACAAATCCCTTCACAATCAATGCTACTGTATTGCAAATACAGTCTCTTATGCTTGATTATTTATGGACACAGTTGTAAATTTAGCTCTTCCATAAATGTGGTGAAAAGTGACTTTGATATTTCATACTCATGCAGTGCTTACCATGGCCATGTTACATCTCTGATTGACATCAGTCCCTATAAATTTCATCAGCTGGAAAAAGACAGCAAGAAGGAGTTTGTGCATGTGGTAAGTGTGGATTTTTTTTGCTTTTTGTCATTATGTCATTTTTATTATGATGCAACAATTAACAACTTCTGTGTAAATGTACTTTCATTCTGTTTTGCTAATGTCAAAATACATACTCTTGATGTTTTATCAGTGGATTAAATACAGCAAAATTGTTTGCTTTTGGATTTCTAAGAGATTTCTTTAGCTATGAGGCTGAATTCCTGCCTAGTGATATACAATTCCCAAGTCATTGCATTGTACTGTTGCTCAGTTTGAAAAAAATACACAATATCTTTTGCATTAATCAAGCTATAGAAATGCAGGACTTCTGAATCTACTGTCAATGGCGGGAAAGACAGAGCTCATACGCACAGAGACCCCTGGGTAAAGAGGTTATGGGTATCCACTTCATCAGCCTAATCTTATGAAAACAAAAAGCACTCTCAGCCCAGAGTTATACATAGTCCTTTCCCATCTAGATCTCTGCACACTCCCAGAGTAGCCCCTTTTTGTATTTTTTTCCTCTCCTTTAGCTCCTCAACCTCTCCTAACACCATTTACCAGTTGCAGAAATGGATCTTTCTGCAAGAACTGAACATAAGATCAGGATTTGCTATTACAGTCTAAGGGAAAGGAGGGAGGGTCTTGAAAAGGTAGTTGAGCCAGATGGTTCTTTCACTACCTGTGGCATGTAAAGCTGAACACACTACAGGGGTGTGTGAAGACACTACAGGGTTCCAGTTTAAGATCCTATAAATATTTTGTGTAGTTCCATGTAGAAATTGAGAATGTGCTAACTCTATTAAGTATTTGTGTGAAAAGACATGTCCTGTTCCAAAACCATAGAGGAATACATACATACATACATATATATATATATAAAATAAAACAAAGCAAACAAGTAAAAAACAGAAAGTAAACGTTTTGCAGAAGCCAAGGCTTACATTTAGAAATTCAGAAATTTTGTTTTTTTCAGGCTCCCTGTCCAGATATCTACAGAGGAAAATATAGGGAAGACCACCCAGATCCAGCAAGTGCTTATGCTGAAGAGGTGAAAAAGATTATTGAAGAAGCACAGAAGAATGGACGCAAGGTATGTGTTTTGTGCTCTACAAATGTTGAAACTTCATCTATTAAGGGTAGCATGAGGGGCATGAAACGGGATAAAATATATGTTTCTCTACGCTCAGTTTCCACTGCTTACCCTTATCTTTCATTTTTCTGTGATGGCCTCTGTATTCAAAATACATCTTTTTTTTAACTGATGCTCTTACCATAATTTTTCTAGGGATCAATGAAAATGGTAAGATAGAATTGATAATACAGTTGTAAATAAGCATCTGAAACCAAAATCAGCCTAATTTGCTATTTTAGGTTTGGAATCAGGCACAGGCAAACTTTGAAGTCAGCTATGAAACTACAACAAAAGTTCTAGCAAGGATATATGTAAGGACCCAGCACATAGAAAGCATATGCTAGCTAGATAATATCTTACTACTAAGTTTCTCATTCTACTTGCTTAAAACAGCCTTAGATTACCTTTTAACCATATGCAAGATAATCTTGATAAAAAACAGATGCTTCCTGGACAGCTTTACTTAAAATATGTGTTAATGTTTGGTAGGATGACACTAGCATTTTGAGACCTGCAGGGCTTGTTTCAAAGCCCACTGAAGTCAGAGAAGACTTCAGTGGATATTGGAACAACATGTTCCCTTCTAGTCCAATGGACTTATATCACTCTTCTTTTAGATTCTTCAGCTTTTTTTTTATTCTCTACTAACGGATAGTTTTGTCTTTTTTCTTCCTTTGTTTCCTTTCTTTTGCATATTTCTTAGGTTTTGGTGACATATACCTGTGGCAGGACAAGTTGTGCTAAAGGCTAAGCCTCACATGCTATGGGAAGCTTCGTACTCTTTGGCCGTAGCATGCCTCTTCAAATATAGTGTACGGTTCTTTACACGTTACTGCTCGGCCTTGTTTCCAGGAAGACTGCGCCAGCCCAGAGAGACCTGTTGATGCTCAGGGAGGGGTTCACAAGTGGTGTGGGATGCAATCCCTTAAATAGCAGACTTATGCTGACTTATTTGGGGTAATATCATATCTCTGCTGCATAGACATGTTGAAAAGAAACAAAATTTTGATGTTCCAGTATTTGATCTGCTGCTCTTGCCCTTCCTGACTTGAAATAACTGTCTTTTTCATTCCTAGCAACTGGAATTATTTCACCTGTAGAACTTTTCTTCTCTTTTGTCAAGTGCCTCATGCTGACAACGTACTGGTTTCATTGTCTGCATTAGGCAGAGGTGCCCAAAGCATAGCCTCAGGTCATCTTCCAATTCAGGTTCTGCCCATCTCTTCCTGGCATTGTGGACTGACAGTAAAACTGACCACCATATATATCTATTACCGGAAAGCCTTGATTTAAGCAAGTTTTATTCACCTCTTGGGGAAAATGACAAATACTGTTATGTGCCTCTTGTAAATTCAAATTTGTTCAGAAATTTACAGAGATGCTATGAGCCTGAAACAATATTCACTGTTACCAGTAAGCATCTTCAGCATCAACAGCTGTAGGACCAGGACTTAACTAAGGTTCCTGTATTCCTATTAAGCTGCAAAGATGACCCTGGCTTCTGCAAATTTGGGCACCCCAGATTAAAACATATATAAATTCTCTAGCTATAGCTATTCTCAAGCTGTCCAATCCATGTGTGACTAAAGACACACTTTTTAAATGTTTATTCCTAGACTGTTTGAGATTTGTGCAAAGCCCAAATAAATGAACACAGCTCTTACCTGAACTTGTTTTTTGTAGATTGCTGCCTTCATAGCTGAATCCATGCAGAGCTGTGGAGGCCAAGTAATTCCACCCGTGGGCTACTTCCAGAAAGTGGCAGAGTATGTACAGCACTTGGGCGTAACTGGAAACTTAACCAAAGAAACAAGTTTTCACTGTAGGCGTATCTAGTCAATTTGGCTATCTCCCACTCTTAGTTATCTGTAACTTCTTTCTATTTTGGAAGAGTAGGATTCCACTTCTAACTTTTATGGAAAATCAGCTGAGTGAAAATAAAATTACTTTAGCTGGATAATTATCTTTCCTTTTCTATCTTTAATCCTCAGGCCATAAATTTGATGGAAGATGAAGTTGAACCAGCAGAGAGGTAGCCCTGCAGTACCATTACAGTTCCCCTATTTTGCATCAAAATATCAATTTTTTTTTCTTAACATTTAATGAACTAAATGTATTATCAGTTGAAATTTATAGCTATGCTTGGTAAGTTTCCAATCACAATTGCACACTTCATCTCCACATTGTCACATAAAAGCAAAACATTGGCTTGAAATTGAGTCATTTAAACAGTCATAAAAAATAGATGTGGATATTTGTCAGTATAACTGGAATTAACTGTAGGTTCATTCAGACCACATTAAGAGCCAGAACAATAAAAGACATAAGTACTGTAGCAAAGGAAATCTGTAGTGCATTCACTTGTGACCCAGAGCTCGCAATATCCTTGAGAGTAGGATCCTGGCTGCACAGGAAAAAAATATACTCTTAAAAAAAAAAGAAAAAAAAACACCCACTTTTTTAAACCTGACTGATGGGATGCATTCCTGGGGCTTTGGCCACATGAACAGGTTCTGAACACAGTTGTCAGGATTACAGTATGGAAGTTTAGCACTGAGGTTGTGTTTCAGGAAACAAGCTCTTTCCTTTTTTCTTAACCTGGTCTTGTATCTGAGAATTTCTGTAATATAAATTCCCTTGTTCTACACTAGCGACTTGAGACTAGTTCTGCAGTTAGTCTTTTGAACCATTTTGCTTGTTTTCAGACATGTGCATGCGGCTGGTGGCATATTCATAGCTGACGAGGTCCAAGTTGGCTTTGGAAGAGTTGGAAAACACTTTTGGGCTTTCCAACTGCAAGGTGAAGACTTTGTGCCTGACATTGTTACCATGGGAAAACCCATTGGCAATGGCCACCCTATGTCTTGTGTAGTCACAACAAGGGAAATTGCAGAAGCTTTTGGTGCCTCTGGATTGGAGTATTTTAATACAGTAAGTTTCTAGATTAAGGTTTCTCTCTTCTTTTTACTTTGGTCTACATTTAGTGACTGTATGAGTTGTTCAGTTTATAGGGCTAGAGATAAGGACAGTCTGCTAACACCTGTATCCAATTCTAGGTCCTGTGAGCCTCATGGTCCAGGTTTGACCTCACAAGACAGTGACCCTTTGCCAGGAAACATCTGAGCTGCATGCCTACTATAAAGCAGCAGTTCTTTTCTTGTTTATTGAGTCCTCTTTCACCAACTCAAACTGGGCCTTCCAACCAGCTACCATGACTTCCCCGATTTCAGTTAAGGACCTATTTGCATCACTTCACTGATTACTCTTCACATAAGCACTATGCCCACAGATGAAACAAGGAAAGCACTGCACAAAGCAGAGGGAACTGGGCTGCACCCATCCTTCCCTCACGAGCTGCTTGGCCCAAAATCATCAGC